GGCCCTGGGGACTGGCATGCTTATGAAGGCTAGAAGTGCCACCTGATCTGGGTATCTCACCCTGCACCTGAGAGAACAGGAGCAGAAAGAAATTCAGTCACTGGAAAATGGATAGAATACCTGAAAGCAGATTAGGAAAGGTAGATACACACTTTCTCCCTCTGGGCAAGGAAAAAAAAAAATCAAAGAACCAAAGAGAATTATAAAGATGATTACAGATTTAGAATATAAAATTCCCAAAGAACCATTAAAGAAATTAAAAGTACTAGACATGGGGGGGGAAAAGCAACCAGACTGAATGAGGGTTCATTCATTAATGTCCTTCCAGTTTATGAATGAACTCATTTATGGGGACAACAAACCATCTGGTCTTCATGTTGAACCAAAAAGTAGGAGTAACACACAACATGCAGAACTATGAGGCTGGTAAGTGTGAAAGCTGGCATGACTTTTGAACAGTATATATGCCACAAAGTTTACAAGTTCAAGAATCTTAGGAGCTTTGTTCTAGTGTTGTCTGCAATAAATTAAACCAGTGTGACCTCAGACAACTCACAGAATTTCTCTGAACTCAGTTTCCTCATCTGTGCAATGAATATAAAAACAAGAGAAAAATATTGGACTCTGGATTCAAAAAATTGTCTTTGTCACTTACTGCTTGTACAAATCTGGGCACATTATGTACCTTGGAATCCTCATGTATAAAAGGAAAGTAAGTAGTATCATCCACATACCATCAATCAACCATATTGAGAAGATTAAATAAGTTAATACATGCAAAGCACTTAGCACAGTGCCCAATTTAATTAGGGTTATCTATTGTTTTAGAGGGATTTTTTGTTTTTGTTTTTGTTTGGAGAGGGGTGGGTTCTGCTATTGTTAGTATTATGTGAAGTAGTAGAAGCTAATATTGGTTGATTAAGCAGAAAATGGGTTTATTAAAAGGATATTGGTTCACAGAACCAATTGATTTCAAGAACAAGATTCAAGAAAAAAGCTTTTAGGAATGAACCCCATATATCACAAATCTTGAATATGAAAATGCATCCACAGTCACAGAATGCTCAAAATTAGAGTTTGTGTCATTAGAACTTATGTACAACTCAATTGTTCTTTATTATAACTATGGCTATTCCAGCTGCAAGGGGAAATAGAAAATCAACTATCTGGCCATTTAACATCTGCAGAAGAAGGCAGTTCATCCCAGATTCTCCATATATATATATATATATATATCAGATGCCAGGTGGCCAAAATGAACTCAATCTGTTTGACTTTTACGCTAAGATTTATTGCTTGGAGTCATTTGTTAAAGGTTGTGCAATTTTATTCGATGTCAAGAATAAGGTTTACATAATCCTTTAAAGACTCCATGATTCCATCAGGAAAGGCTTAAAATATCCAGGGACAGAAGGAACTTCCAAATACTGACATATAAACAAAGTTACTGGGTTAAAGTCCAATATTTAAGTTAAAGTCCCTGGGTTTATTGTTACCATTAGATTATCAGTTTTTAATTTCCATAATTGAAGATTTCCACCTATCATATTTGACTAGGGAGAGTGAAAGGTTTCCAAGTCTTCAATTGTGAAAATAAAAATTCTCAGAGTTGAATGAACATTCTCTCATGGAAAAAAATAATCCTATATTCTTTCTCTCTGAACTATTAATATATTTGTGCTGTGTGTGGGGGGGGGGGTACATTCCACAAGAAGGACATTAGCCAGGAGGGGAAAGAGCAATTATAATTGGGCTTTATCTATTTTAAACTCAACTATAAAAAAAAAAATAGTGCCTAAAATACCAGCAATCCAGCTCCCAACGGTCCTTACTGAGCAACAGACAGATATGCTGACCCCATGACTAATGCTGGTGCCTGTCTCAGCCTGGCCTGGAGCTCCACCACTGGAGCATTCCAAGCCCAGTGGGTGGTTCATAAAGCAAATTCCACCCCCTGCCCCCCCCTCCCCCCCCCCTCGTGCGTGTACCCTGTGGCATCTCTGAACAAGTCTGACCCTTTGGGATCCCAAAAATATTCTTGGGGAATTTAATTCAAGTGTTTATAGAAACCACGGAAAGGCAGTTACGAAGCTTTCCTGCCCAATCCTTTTGGCTCTTAAGCAGATGAATTCTCTGACTTATACACATGATTTGCACAAAATAGTTTGGTGACGTTTGTAGCAATTATAGTAAGGAAGAAAGGTGAAGGGAAAATTTACAGAGGTCATTGTATTCATTGCCTATTTATTTTCAAACACACAAAGCTAGTCAAGTCAGAAATTCTGGTATGTTACTATTGTGGGATGGAAACTTGGTTTCCTCAACCGGAAGAGTAAAAATACTGTAACATTCACTCTAAGTTGTTTCCAATAACCCACTGAATGGTATGTCTGGACATTTAGGATCATCATCAACCAACCACATGGTGAGAGTTGATCCAAGGAGGCAGGCCACAGTTTGGAAATAGAAAAACGTCTCCAAATAAGCAATAAGTATGAAGTATTCTCTCCCCCCCCAAAAAAATTATGTAATAAAATAATTGGAAATTGAAAGGGATTTTTTAATGCAACAGAGGGGTTTCAAGCTAATGGCAAGATGATTTTTTTCATAAATAAATACTTAAATGTATGGATCTGTTATAAGTGATGAGGTTCCCATATAACACGGCAAAAAATGTAGCTGATGGACTTTGAAACCAGCCTGCCCACGTTCAAATCCTGACTTCAGTTCCCAACTCAGCAAATTACTTAAAACTCTGTGGGCTTCAGTGTAAAATGGGGATAGTAACAGTCCAGAGCCCATGATGGTGTTTGAGGATAAGAACAGAGTATGGCTGTATAGGCATTTGTTAGAAGGTAAGTAAATAAAACATTCAATATTGTCTCCGAAAATATTCAATTTATACTTTTCAGGGTATTCTTAGTTGGCATATAACTTATTGGGTTCTTAACTTTTTAAAATAAAAATGTCAAACATTTCACTTCTTTTATTTCTCAGCACTAATAAGTATTGGCTACTGAATAATCCTGCAAGAATACAGGGAAGAAGAAAAAATACAAGAATTCTAGAGGCAAATACTTAAATATTTAGTAAAATGAAAAGCATTCAGTCATTTAAAGCAAAAAGTAATCAAGGCAAGGTAGATCACCCATCTGACATTTTTTTTTAATTTAGAGCAACAGAATATAAATTACTAGGATTAAAAATGTGATCCCAACCACAAACATCATTGAAATACTGTGCTCTAAAAAACCTTGGTGCTAACACATAAAATAATTGAGAAAATAATCAAGTTGGTATATATAAAGATTTATCAGTGAAGTTGGAAGCTGTTTTACTATGTTTCAAACAACAATTATTGTACAAAACAATATTTGTTTTTAAATGTTTTGTATTGATTTCAGACAAAAAAAAAAGTGAGAGGAAGAGAGGGATAGAAATATCAATGATGAGAATCATTTTGTCACTTACTTCTTGCACACCCCTACCTGAGACTGCGCCTGACAACCCAGGCATGTGCCCTAACCGGAAATCAACCACGACCTCCTGTTCATAGATTGAATGCTCAACCACTTAGCCACACTGGGGCTGTTGTTGTTTTTAATCCTCGCCCAAAAGTATTTTTTATTGATTTTTAGATAGAGAGGAAGAGAGGGTGGAGAGGTAGAGATGGGGATGGGAGGGAGAGGGAGGGAGAGAGAGAGAGAGACTTACTCATCCCAACCAGGAATTGAACCAGTAACCTTTTGGTGTACAGGACAATGCTCCAACCAACTGAGCCACCTGGCCAGAGCACACAAACAATGTTTTTAAACAACCCACATATTTTTTTTAAATATGTATAAAAAGTATTTGGAAAGGAAGTGCAATCTTTCAATAATAACTATATCTATGGATGAGTAAGATGGTGCATTTAGGAACTTTCTTTTTACCTTATACATTACTAAGTTTTTTCCAACATGTAATAGAATAAAATGTATTAAGTGTTATTTGTAGAAGTTAGTAATGCATAGTGATCTCTGGTCCCTTATAGTTTCCTTTCAAAAATCACACACAATGGTAACGAGTTTCTGGCTATACTTAAGATTTACCTTTTTCAGCAGCTCTACAGTGTTGGATTAGGCCTGCACATCACATTGAACCCAAATTACTTTTAAGTCCTTAACCTTTAGAAAAATATAGCTGTCATTACAGAAAAGCACCAGTGCTATTCCTCCCCAAATAAGGACATGAAATTAACCAAGGACTTGTTAGGACAAAGGAAAAAATAGAAACTAATTCTATTTGGACAGAGAACAGCATTACTCCCCACAAAGAGATCCAACATTAGTAAACACCTCTCACCATTTTGTCAACTTTGAAAATAGATTTAAGTCCCTCACCAGCTACACCCCAAATTAGCCAGCCGCTCCTTCCGAGAGTAATCTGCACAATGTTTCTATTTAGGGTCTTGTGTTGCCTTCCTTGGCCTATGAAACCACCGAAATTCAAGGATGCAAGAAGAGAATTAATAACCAAGAACTATATATCACATGCCAAGCGCAGTCCATACATATCTGATTCATTCCCTCCTTGAATCTAAAGCCGACATTGTCCTCACTGTGCTTATGAGACCACTGAGGTTCTGAGAAGTCATCTGTCCAAGGCTAGTGAGTCACAGAGGCAAGGAGTCCAGCTACAGAGCACTGACCACCACACCACACAGCCTCCACAGTGGATCCCAAGGGTAGTCAGATCCTTTGGTGATGGGGTGATTTTGAGTGGCACCAGAAAATAAGGACCCCTTATATCTGTTCAGCACTTTATCAGTTTTCACATGTGATATTAAAATCCACACGCAGAGACTTATATGGTTTTTACTCCCTCTGGCCCGTCCACTATTATTTGTCAATGATAAGTTTGTTTCTAACTGTGAATAATTCTGAAAAATAATGGAGAAGCTTGGACTAAAGATCTCTCGTTTTCTTCTGTCCCCCATTCAACCTCCCCTGGATTTGCAGGAAAATGGACAAAGAAAATACGGGGGCCCTCCACCTGGCTGGGATGCTGCGCCCCCAGAAAGGGGCTGTGAGATCTTTATTGGGAAACTCCCAAGAGACCTTTTCGAGGATGAACTCATACCGTTATGTGAAAAAGTGAGTCCATGTTTAGATTTGGGAAAAGTTCTACTGTCGTCACTTTGCTTTCATGCTCGTTTTTCCTCGTCAGGGATGATGTCTTCCAATTGCTATTCCTCAAGCAGATAAAACCTTCCTACCTGCTGGTGACGGTCTCAGCCCTGTATCCTCTTACTGACAGCTTCACAGGAGCTGCTACTGACATCATCACTGATGACCGTCAAATCTCTATTTCTTTTTTTTTCTTTTTTTTTAAATATATTTTTATTGATTTTATACAGAGAGGAAGGGAGAGAGATAGAGAGCTAGAAACATCGATGAAAGAGAGTCATCGATCAGCTGCCTCTTGCACACCCCTCACCGGGGATATGCCGGCAACCAAGGTACATGCCCTTGACCGGAATCAAACCTGGGACCTTTCAGTCCCCAAGCCGATGCTCTATCCATTGAGCCAAACCGGTTTCGGCCGTCAAATCTCTATTTCATACCCCGGACTCCACTGGCACGCCACCTCACTGCCAACTCCACGTGCCTATCAATACAGACTGACACTACAACCACCTGTCTGAAAACAGAGACTGCTTCCACTTGACATGTTAACATGTGTGCAACACATTTACAAAAATATAACAGGGAGGTTTGTCACAGCTCAGAACTGTGGCTATTATGTATTGGTCCAGAATAAAAAATTTTGAATTTCTTATCCACCCTAATGTATCAACAAAATTAATTATATAATTATTAAGGTTCTCAAAGTAATTATGCAACTGTTAAGGGATAAATTTCCTCAGTTTTCATTCAAATGGTATATTTTTTTTCCCCAAAATGATATTTTATTACTAAACCTCCAATGAAATGGACAATACAAAATTCACAGTTATTTTCAATATTTACCAAGTGGTGTTTAAACAACCACATTCCTAAAAAAAAAAATCAGTAAAATCAGTTTAGCTACTTATTTCCCTAAATGCCAAAACCAGTGTGCTTGCTTGTGACTGTGTGTGTATGTGTGTAACTCAGCCTCAGAACTGCATCTAATTTTATACATACAATCCCTCTTGGGCTGTGGCCAAATTATGGACTTAATCCTGTAAAATCTTAAACACTAAACCTGAAAACGCGCAGCAAAAAACGCCTGAAACACAGCAGTGAAACATGTTGAACGCTTCCCCAATGAGCCCAGAAGAAATAGGTGTCCCTCATTGAATGCCTTGGGGTGGTCAGGTGGGTGAGACTGAGATGAGAGGTAACCCACCAGTGTGTAACAGCATATGCTGAATGATGCTTCTTCTCCCCACACATGCCCCTCATATCTATTTGGCCACCCTTCTTACAGCAGCCAGAAAGCATGAATTCCTGAGCCTGAATTTCAGGAGAACATTTAGGAAATCGAGTAGTATATTGGCAAAGCAGAGTGGCTATAGCCAAAGACGTAGTGAGTACCCTCCTGAGTGGAGGTCCTGGCCCTGGTCAGCTGTTTTAAGACCAGCCTTTACCACCTTCAGCCCACAGACTTTGAAATAACAGGGCTCCCCAGATTATCCTCTGAAACACACCATAGTATCAATTTTGATGTCATGGTGGGGGGAAATGAGCTAAGGAGATGTATCAAGGGTCCAAATTAGTGTTCCTGGTTTTCCTTTTAAGTAACTGTGGTGAAGTACTACCAAGTAAATATCACACTAAGGAGACCTCAGAGGCCAATTGAGAGGGCAAGGACGAATCTATCAAGAAATTGTACTTCTGATGACAAATGTGTTTTCAGATCCCCAAAAACAGTGTATAAATCCCCCGGTAGCTATGTGGTGAAAGGTCATTTACTCTGTCGTCAAATATATTCTGTTAACTCCGGCTGAAATGCCACTTGTATACTTTTTTAAAATTAACTTGCCTGTGCCCAGGAGTCAGGTAATGGATCCAAACCCCACACGTGCAAACTATTCCACCTGGGATGCAAACGCCAATTTATGGCAGTGACCGACTTCAGAAAGCGGTGTGTGCACTTGTGGACATGTGTGGTCATTTGGAAGCACAAATGCATAAATATGAATTTCTCGTTTTCTCTTCTTTATAGATTGGTAAAATTTATGAAATGAGAATGATGATGGATTTTAATGGCAACAACAGAGGATACGCTTTCGTAACATTCTCAAATAAACAGGAGGCCAAGAATGCAATCAAGCAACTTAATAATTATGAAATCAGGTAAGCAGAACAGACACCCCAGAGCCAACCTCACCTGCCTCCACTCGGCCTTGTTTCAGTGGAACCTGTCAGAGAGAGAACCTTTCTTGTAGAGAATAGCCCTTGGTTTGCTTTGACTGGGGGAAAGATAAAGTTCTCATCTGGGAAAGACCCACCATTGTCAGAGATCCTCCTTCTCCTCAAATGTGCACGGAGCATCATCTAAATACCTGGCTCTGGAGACATAGAAATCGAGTCCTCAGCTTTTGAGAGATGGCTTTTCTTCTCTAAGCAATTCTAGGGAAAGTGCCTGACAAACCCCACATTTAGAAATAGAACATGGAGCCTTTAGGCTCCCCCTGTTGGTAACTGATAGCTGACCAAACCCAAACTATCAAAAATAATTTCTGAAGATCTAGTAGCAAACCAGTTTTTTAAAAGTAAAGTTTAAAAAGAAACTGAATGATTACTTTGTCAACTTTTCCCTTCCACCCTACTCCAAAAACACGTTCCCACAGCGACGGAGACGAACCTGTCACAGATCTGATCCGTAGTCCTTGGCTCTTCAGGAAATCAGAGAAGGCAACTAGGACACTGGCCCAACCCTCGCCAGAATACCTGTCACACATATAAACCACTATTTCCAAGAACTCGGCATTCTCTCACTCACCTGGGTGGGTTTTTTCGACCATGACAAACAAGTGATTTCTGTTAAGAGAACCTGGGCCATTTTTAATAACTTTGTGTTATTACCAAAGTCACACAGCCTGATTGGCAAAACACACACACACACACATACACACACACACACACACACACACACACACACAAAATCCTACAAAGTTATAAAAGTTAAACCATTCCTCCATAACCCCGTTGCCAAAGATAATCACAATGTTGATTTTTTTTTTATTGCCTTTTTGGATTTTCTATAGGTTTAATAAAAATGGCCTTCTCACATATTTAATTTGTAGCCTTTTCTTAAAAAATCCCACAGCATATCGTGAACTGCCTTTTTAAATCAATAAATATGCTTCTCCATTAGTATGTTCAATGACTGTTGTGCATTCTATTCTATGAATGCCCGTCTTTTGTTAACTAGTGCTTCTCAGCAGGCAGCATTATTGTCCATCTTAGGGGACATTTAGAAGTGAGAAGGCACTTTTTCAAAGACCTAACGGGTAGATACTGGCATTTATGGACAAGAACAAGGATGACAACTATACTATGGTACACAATGAGGAAATGTCTGGCCCCAAAGTCAATAACATCTCAGTTGAGACATTAAACCAGTCCCATATATTGGGATATTTTCCTCGTTTCCCATTTGGAGGCAGGTTATCTTAAATAACAAGGAATATACTTATACATAATACTTGGTGCTCATCTGTTTCCCTAAGATCCCGTTCAGAATGGGCATTATTTGGTCACAGATTTTGCACACTTGAGACTTTTTTGCCAATGTTTCCCAGAGAAGTTTAATCAATCTGTCAAAGAAGGTATACTTTGACTTGTTACTAAGCAACAAGGTTCAGTGGAAGAAGCAGGAATTGAACCGAGAGCCCAGCAAGTCATTTAATTTTTTGGAGTCTCAAGTTCTTCCTCTGTTAAATGGAAAAAACACTTCCACCTACCTAGAGGCTCTAGTGGAGGCCAAATAAGATAACATGTAAAAGTCTGTTCAAGCAGAAGGGACTGTTTTTAATAGCAATCATGTCAGAATAGCATCCCAATTTGTATGGAAAAGAAGAGAGCACCAGAGGTTGCAAATTCAAATACCTTCAGGGCCAGGCAGAGACCTGAGCAATGTGGGCAGGTATAGAGGTCTCAGCAATGGGCATGTTTTAAGGAGGAGTAAGAACTGACAACTGGAGCACCCACATCTAATCTAAAGACAGCAGATGCTATTCCGCTTTAAATACCGTGTGTGATTTTTTTCTTTAAAAATATAGAGCAAATCTGGCCAGTGTGACTCAGTGGTTGAGCATTGACCCATGAATCAAGAGGTCTTTGGTTCAATTGGTTGCAGGCTCCATCCTCAATAGGGGCATGCCTGAGGTAGCCAATCGATGTATCTCTCTCATCAATGATTCTCTCTATCTTCTTCTAAAAATCAATTAAAAATAAAAAAGAGATTCAGAGTCCATAGCAGCCTATTCAAGCCTTGTGACCTCATGTGGAATGCAGTGTACTTTAAATATATATATGTTTAGAGAGAGAGAGAGAGAGAGATCAATGTTGACAGATTTTCCAGTTTCTCAAAAGCAGTCACAACTTCCCCAAAATAGTTTAATCACCATAAAGTCCAAACATTCCACATGTATAGGTTATATCAGGTGCAAGGCCATACTTTTTCAACTTCTATTAATCACAATTGGGTTCTCGCCAATCAAACGTGTGCTCCTTTTGCAGAAATGGGCGTCTCTTAGGGGTCTGCGCCAGCGTGGACAACTGCCGATTGTTTGTTGGGGGAATTCCCAAAACCAAAAAGAGAGAAGAAATCTTAGCAGAAATGAAGAAGGTAACCGAGGGCGTTGTGGACGTCATTGTCTACCCGAGTGCTGCAGACAAAACCAAAAACAGAGGCTTCGCCTTCGTGGAATACCAGAGCCACCGGGCTGCTGCCATGGCCCGCAGGAAACTCCTCCCAGGTTAGCAACCCGCCCCCCACCCCCACCCCCAGCTCACACCCCAGTCTCCCACTCCATCCCGCCTGGCTCACACCTGAGTCCCCCCACTCCATCCTGCCTGCCTCGCTGCTGTGCTCCTTCACAAAGGAAACAAGTGTTTGCTGTCCTTGTGCTGCTTGTTGTGTTTTAAACTCTTTACCCTTCTTATCTCAAAGTAAATTAAATCCCCTAAAGTTTTCACAGAAAGGTTTCTGATTCTATGCATTAAGTCTAATTTACACACATCGGAGAAATTTAGAACTCTAAGCTCCAGCAATCCTATCATGAATCCCTAAAGTAAAGAAGTTTCATAAAATTAAATATATCAACAGTTATTTTTATGGAGATATTTTGTGATCAGGTTTATTAGAAATAGGGTGTGTAATCCATTACAATGTAAAAATAATAAATCTTCAAAGATACATTATCCCAATGACAATGAAGTGATATTCTTTTATGACTCCTAGTATTTAATAATTTCTGCATAACTTGGAGAACAAATATAATAACTCTCTGTAGAAAGGGAGCTTTGTAAGATGCTACAACCATAGGGTAAGTCCCATTTTGGTAATAACCACTGATTCCTAACTGTCAGACCTGTACACAAAACTGCCTCAGATAAACTTAGAAAATAATTGTTGAAAGTCTTCCTTCTAAAATATTTGCTCACTTACACAAAGCAAGGTATTAAAATGAATTAATATTAAAATGAGGATTTTCATAACAACAGACATCAGAATCAACTCTTCTCCTAACATGATGGGAGAGCTTCCAGAATTGAAAACCAAATTACAAAAACACCAGAACTTAGGTTGCCCTCATACTCATTCTTAAAGACAAAGCAAACCAACAGTAGGATTAGCCTGCTAGAAATTTCCAACATTGAAGATGGCTTCTGAGCGTAGGGAAGATTTTTTTAAAAGAATATTTTCATAGAGGCAGCTGAAAGTTAAAAAAAAAAAAAAAAATGAGATGCACCCTTCCCCCCAAAAAATTGTTGTGTCTGTTAGAGAGGTGCATGTTTTTAATGTTGAAACTTCCATTTACTTTTTGCTCACTACCCAGTAGTCATGTCATCTGACTCACAGCTGCAGAGAATCACAAATGCCCCTCATGGGGCAAACCTAACCTCTCAGTGACTGGAACTAATGTGCTGCTGTCCTCTTCAACTCTTTTTTAAAACCAACAATTCTGACATTGAAAAGTCCCTGTTTCAATCCTGTTCTTAGGACATAATTATAATCTAACACAGATACCCAATCCCCTCAACCCCTATTCCCCATCCCCCACCCCAGTTCCCCTGCTTAGATTATTTTTCCAAGGTCTCCTAATTACTCTCCCATTTCTGCTCTCTCTGATGTACCCCCAACCTCTGCCTACTCCATCCTCAACATTACTGTGAGATTAGCATTCCCAAAATATTGACCATCTTCTCCACAAATTCTTGCAAAGAGCAGAAATCCAATCTCTATCTGTTGATAGTTAAAGGGTGTCACTCACTCATCAATTCAAAAGCATTCACCCACCCCTTACTGCATAAGAGATAAAGAATACAGTCAACTCTCAGCTTGCCTTTCAAGGCCTGCCATCCTTGACCCTAGTCCTTTACAACCATATTTTCTATCTTCTACTTCTCAATAAAAACTCTTTTTTCTGGCAGGACAAACCCCTCAATGTCCTAGAGCAGTGGTTAGCAAACTCATTAGTCAAGAGAGCCAAATATCAACAGCACAACGATTGAAATTTCTTTTGAGAGTCAAACTTTTTAAACTTAAACTTCTTCTAACGCCACTTTTCAAAATAGACTCGCCCAAGCCGTGGTAGAAGAGCCACACTCAAGGGGCCAAAGAGCCACATGTGGCTCGAGATCCGCAGTTTGTCGACCACAGTCCTAGACAACACCAGGCTAATCTTTGCCTCCTGGGCTCCTAAGGAGATCTCCTTCCCCTCTGCTGACTGATGATGCTCAAAGCCCAGCTCAGCCACTGCTCCCCTGGGAAACCGGCCGCCACTCTCTCTCTTTGTAAAAGGAGATGTGTAAAGTGGTTCTGGGACTGGGAGAGGGGTCAGTGAAAGAGAGTCTAGAAAGGAGGAAAGTTCTCAGAGGCCAGACAGCCATTGCTCCTAGAGATTCAGAACTTCTTGTTCGCTTCCCGTCTCTTTAAAAAATCCAGCACATGACCCCACAGAAAGAGCAGCTGTCCTTACCTGAGTGCAGCTGACAGGGTTAGGCAGGGCTGAGCAGCTGGGCTTCAGGAATTCCCAAGCACGTTGTGCTGCATCCACTGGAGGACCTGGCTTTTCCCTCTGGACTCTCAGTCCGGATCCAGGAAGATGGATGCTCGCTCCTTCACGCTCCCCACCCACTGCCTATCTTTCTCACCATCATGGCAGCACCCCTCTCCCTGGTCCTTTAAATTGGCCTCAGCTGAGTGGAGTTTTGTTCAGCTGGAGTTCAGGCAGCCTGCCTCCTCAGCAGATCAACAAGACGGGGGCACAGTGGTGAATCGCCAGCCTTAGCAAACGGGTTCATTTCTACTGAGGCCTGAGAGCAAAATCTACCATCCATCTGGACAGTCTATTATCCCACCATAGATTCAACAGCAACCAAGGATATCTGCACAGCCTGGTTTTAAAGAATACAGAGGTTCTTAAGAAACATGATGGGTGCAGCCCATGGGAAGCTTTTCCTTCTTAATTGATTGAGACATGGAGACAGAGAAAATTGTCTAAAGTGATGTTTTGGCTCCCAACCACCTAACTCCTGTTACCAGTGGCAGCTCTTTTAACAAAATGCATCTTTGCTGAGATATGTATAGAATAAAGCTGTCACATTCCTACTCAGACGTTATCAAAGAATAACAAAGAATGCTGGTTCGTCTGCATCAGAGTCACCGGGAGGGCGGGCTAAAGCAGATTGCTGGGCCCCACCGCCAGCATTCCAGATTGAGTAGGTCCAGGGTGTGGTCTGACAATTTGCATTTAAAACAAGTTCTCATGATTCTTCTGCTCCTGAAATTACAAGTCTAAAGCAACCATTGTCCATCGTGAGTTACAATTTTGAAACCAACCCCGAAGAGGTTTTTAAACAATACCAATACCCAAATCAACCTTTAATCAATTGAATCTGTTTCTCTGGGGTACAGAGCTGGGACAGTGGTGTTTTAATTTTCCAGGTGATTCTATTTTGCTGCTAAATTTGTTGATCCATTGCTACATCTATCAACTAATAATACTGAACACTCACCTGTATTGGGAGGTAAATAGAACTGAGTAGGGACTATTCAGTATGGAAACATTATTAAACATCAGTAATATACCTTCTAATCTAAATGACAGGGGAGCCCTAGCCAAATGACTCAGTTTGCTGAAGAATCACCCTGTACACCAAAAGATTGTGGGTTTGATTCCCAGTCTGGGCACATACGTAGGTTGGGGAAATATATCCCTGATCAAAAGGTAACTAATCAATGTTTCTCTCTCTCTCTCTCTCTCTCTCTCTCTCTCTCTCTCTCTCTCTCTCTCTCCCTCCCTCCCTCTCCCTCTCCCTCTCCCTCTCCCTCTCTCTCTCTCTTTCTCTCTCTCCCTTCCTGTATCTCTAAAATCAATAAAAATATGTGCTAGAGTTGGGTAGAGGGGGGAGGAGGGGGGAAAATGGGGACATCTATAATATTCTCAACAATAAAATAAATGTTTTTAAAAAATCAGACAACACTCCAAATTCCCGGGAGGTGCCAGTAAGACTTCTACCAAATTGCTTCAGCGTAAGAGGAAGCCTACAAACATCAGCTTAGATCCATGGTCCGCAAACTGAGGCTCTCGAGCCACATGCTGCTCAAAAGCCTCAGTTTGCCGCTCTGTTGACTAATGAGTTTGCCGACCACTGTCATATACTACTCTTTACCTCTTTGCACACAATATGTCACAATTGCCTAATCCTCACAGCTTCCAACTACACGGTAACATTTAGTCTAGTCCAGTGGTCAGCAAACTCAATAGTCAACAGAGTGGCAAACCGTGGCTCTCGAGCTGCATGTGCTTAAATCATACCCCAGAGCTAGGCCCTCTGATGCCATCTCACCTACATTAACCACGTGGAAAGGCTTTCTCAGGTGAGGCCTGTTTCATTGAAGTTAGCTCACCACTGTCTCACCTTCACTTTTGAGTCTTAAAATTGGAAATAGTTCAAGATGGAATAGCCATGTCTCCTCAGATGAAGCTCAGATTATGGGAGCCAATGGGGTGGAAGAATACTGTGTTTTATTTTTTTTTTAATATATTTTATTGATTTTTTTACAGAGAGGAAGGGAGAGGGATAGAAAGCTAGAAACATCAATAAGAGAGAAACATCGACCAACTGCCTCCTGCACACCTACTGGGGATGTGCCCGCAACCAACGTACATGCCCTTGACTGGAATCAAACCTGGGACCTCTTGTGTCCGCAGGCAGATGCTCTGTCCACTGAGCCAAACAGGTTAGGCAGAATACTGTGTTTTAAATGAAGATTTTAATTTAGCAGATGGTAGCAAGTAGATGCTGAAATTTAAATAAGTATAACTGTAAGCAGCTCAGTTTTAATTTATGAGATAATTTCTTTGTCAGATAAAAGGTTTATCTTCCTATTTTCTTTCCTTCTTTCAATTTCCTTCTTTCCTTTGTTCCTCCCTTCTTTCTTTCCTTCTTTCCTCCCTTCCTTCCTTCCCCTTTCTAAAAAAGTTGTAAAAAACTCTGAAGGAGAAATTTAACTTTGGCATGGCAAAGACCAGCCTTAAATAGTAAGAAGCTTGGGTCTGAGGTGCGGTTTGAAACATGTTGTCTATAGTATAGAATTGTATACCTGAAACCTATATACTTTTAGTAATCAATACCACCCCAATAAATTAAAAAGAAAAGAAAAGATAAATATGTTGCCAAAAAGCAAAAAGCCAGGCTCTGGAGATAAGTGTGGTATTGGTGGTGATGGGTGTATGCAGGAGCTAGGTCTAGACTCTCAATCTGCTCCAGGGGGTAGTGCCAAGGCCCCTCTTCTTGCCCCTCTTAGCCCAATTGGTTGTTGGAGCTTCAAGGCTTGGGCTGACCAGTCAAGCCTGCAGCCTCAGGAGTCCTTTGAGACTGAACTATGTGTTATCAATGTCTGCACTTGAGATTTTACCTGACAGTCCTGAGTCCCTCCTATAATTCCTTCCCATGAGAGAGAAGACTTGGGGAGGTTTCTGGCACTTAAAACCATGATTTGTAGTCATACATATGTGACTCCAAAAACAAACAAACAAACAAACAAACAAATAAATAAAATCAATAAAAACCATATCCTTGGGCAAGGATAAAAAATAAAATAAATGACATCAGAGATTCTAAAAATATTATACCAAATCCAGGTTCCAGACTTAATCCCCAGAAGGGGACATGCAGGAGGCAGGCAACTGATGTTTTTCTCTCCCTTTTTCAAATAAATAAAAATCCATAAAAACATTTTTTAAAAGTATACCCACCACTATACTCAGGGTAGATATTCTGAGGAAAGTATACATACATGAAAATAACCACATATATCGAGAGGAGAGGGCATTATCGAATTTTCATTCACAAGTGATAAACTAAGTCTCTTTTATGCATCATCTTCTTTTGTTGTCTGCACAACATCCCCAATAAGGAGGTACTTTTATGATCCCAGTTTTACAGTTGAGGAAATTGATGCTTAGAAAGATTATGTTTTGTAGCCAGCATCACTGATCTGATATTTGAACTTGTCTGATTTCAAAGCCTGTGTTGCCAGATTACTCTTCAGCACTGACTTCCACAGGGATGTTCATGGAAATCACTGCTTCCCATATTGCCTCTTCCTTCTGTCCTTTTGCAAATCTTTAGGCTCCTGGATGGCTTAAACGTGGTACCAGGCTGGGAAGGAAAAAGCCAGTGTATAGAACAGTGCTTCTCAACCTTTGCTGCATATTAAGATGAAATGAGGCGAGGTGCCTATAAGAGCCCCGAGGCCCAGACCACTTATTTCAGAATTGGGGAGAGTCCAGGGGTCTTCAATGAGCTGGTAAAGCTTTAACAGCCAACTCCCAGGAGAAAATCAAAAGCCCTGACTTGTAACATTTGCCAATTTCGTGGTATTAACACTCCCACTGTGGCTGATTTCAAGCTACCATGGTGATACCCACTGGCCCACACAATTCTGGAAATGTAACAATCTATTCTTGCAAGTAGATAGGAGCTGGATCCAGCACAGCATTCAGAGGATTTTTTTAAAAACTGTTTCAATGTGGGGCCACGACTGAGAACCATTGGGCTATGGAAATCAGAGTCGCCTGGGAGCCCTATGGATCCTGGTATAAGGCAAACAGCAAAGTCTGTGTAAAGCCTGGAAGAGGAAGGGAAGGAATAGAGGGGACAGGAGAGGAGGGAAGGAAAAAAGTGATGAAAGAAACTATCTCCGGGAAGCAATGCAGAACAAGGTACCTAGCCAGCTGGGGTAGCAAAGGCAGGTTCTGTAGCAGCAGCTAATTCTTTGGGGTGAGTCTATTCTTCGGGTTTTAAAATGTCAATGCCACAGATGTTTTCAGGACTACTTTGCAAAGAAAAAAAAAGATGCATTTTGTTTTAAAAAGAATTGCCTCCCATGTGTAATTATTTTACCAATACTGAGAATTTCTGATTTTGTTCCCTCAAGCTCTTTATTGCTTCCAGAATAGAGCTTGTTCTGTAACAACTAATAAAGTACAAGATTTCAATCAAATTTGAAATTGAGCGGACCCTCACCCTCCTCTCATGCCTTCAACACAGATCTGTACTGTGTAGGGGTCAAGGCATGACTAACATATAACAGAAGCGATGAGAAGTGAAACATGTCCTTGTCTATAAAATTGAAAAAATCTGCTCTTTTCATATTTTTCTTCTTGTTCAGTTAAGATCTCCAGGGTCGTTCCATGTAAAAGGACATCAGTCTGAACTGGGATAATGTTGTCCTGATTTCTATATAACTAATCACACTTGTGATCCTTTCTGTAGGAAGAATTCAGTTATGGGGACACCCCATTGCAGTAGACTGGGCAGAACCAGAAGTAGAAGTTGATGAAGATACAATGTCTTCAGTGAAAATCCTGTATGTAAGAAACCTAATGCTGTCTACCTCCGAAGAGATGATTGAAAAAGAATTCAATAATATTAAACCAGGTAAAACATACTGTAGAAGGTTACTTGTTCAAAACATATTTTAAAAACGCTTGTGCTTATAATGACTTCCATAATTTCAAATAAGAAAGCTTTCATTTATCATTCTGAGAATTGCATGCAGACTACTAAAACTACACTTATACCTTTAGATTAGAAAATAAGGACATACAGTCCTATAACATTTATCAATATTATAGTTTTACATTTATCTGTGTGGTTATTTAAAGGATAGATAGTTCTGTCACCAAGCTATTAATTCCATGAGTTCTTTTTGCTCTTATTGTCTCTTCAGCCCCTGTCTTTGTGTCTGGAACATGTTAGATGCTCAACAAATATTTACTATATTAATTAATGCATGGCCTAATCTAATACATGGTTTCTCAATCTCAGTACTCTTGACATTTGGGGCCAGATCATTTTTGGTTGTGGAGGTCTGTCCTATGCACGATAGGAGATTTGGCAGCATCCCAGACTTTTGCCAGTAGCAACTAGATGCCAGTAGCAACCCCCATTATGTAATAACCAAAAGAATCTCCAGACATTGCCAAATGTATTGTAGAGGGCACTTTAGAATTACTGGTCTCATGGAATATGATTGTGAGTTTAGGTTCATAAGGAAGTAGATGACAATTAAATTCTAAGAAATTGATTTGGGCAAGAAGAACATAAAGAAATAGAGGGAAGGTGGAGGGCAATTATTAGCTGCTTCTCATCTTATCAATACTTTCCAGGATCAATCTGAAGTCATGAGATTAACTGCCCATCTCTTTTTTTTTTTTTTTCCTCATGTAAGAGCTACAACACTGAGGCAGGTAAAGCATTTCAAGAAACAAAATGCAAACAAGCATTTCCCAACGTCAGTTCCATAGAACATTATTTCTCCAGACTGTTAGCAGATGTTCCTGATAAAAGAGGTTCATAGTCAAATAAGTTTGTAAACACTAGTAACAACAAAAGTAAACAAATTTTTTTTTTTTTTTTTTTTTTTTACTGTTGGACTTATCAAAGTCCTTAACCTTCTAATAGGCTTTGACAGTCTCTGAATAAAGAGATGGAGGATGCTGGATTTCCCAAATATTTGGACCTTGCATCCCATTTTTTTTGGCAGACATCTTGTGGATTACTGTTTTGGAACACACTCTAGCCTAAGTTTATTACTATGTTAACACCTTTCTAGAAATGAGAATTTTTCAGTTTCCAGCAGTAACTCTCTAGGTAGTTAATTGATCAACATAAGCCATGGTGCCATCATGTTCAAATTGCCTGAGAATACCCACTTCACATAGTCCTGTTGCCTGGGTTCTGTGTCCAGTGTAACACAATAAGTTAGTTTTTTTCTAAAGGTAATTAGTAAGGGTGTCATTTCTCCCTTTTCAAAGATTCACCAGAGATTTGTCTATTTTCAGCCTTCAGGAACTCTGCCTTCCATGCAGTTTTATAATAGTATATGGCGTCTCCATACCACTAGCTATCAATCCAGAGACAGTGAAGACTGACTGCTTCATAGAGCTAGCAAATGGCAAATATAAGATTTGAATTCAAGCCTGGTTAAGAGCTTGTTCTTAACAACCCTATGACTCCCACGCTCCATCCTCACTCCATTTGCTCACTCATCCATTCAAGTGCCATTACTTTAGTAGCTCCTATATGCCAAGCACTGAGGGAGAACATAAGTGTGGTATGTGTGAAAGGAGTTTGAGATGCTCCAGAAAAGTAACAGGAATGGCAGTCTGCTCTTGGGGTGCAGAGAAGACTCATGTTTAGAAGTGACGTGTGAGCTGAGATCTGAGAGTTGATTCAGTCGTGGGTATGGGAACTGGCATTATGTGCATAAATAATACTTTCTTACCACCACCCCACTTTATGTTGATTTTCCAGAGCAAGTAATACCTCTTAGTTTTATCTACTGAGGACATTACCTTTCTTAGAAAAGGACAGGAATGTGAAACTACTAAAAGGCTGCTTCCTTTTGGTTACTGATTATCAGCTTTACAAGTCTGCACATTGAAGAGTGTCCAGGCCCTATTAATTATAGGAAAACAACCAGTGAGTTGCAGAGGGTGGAGACTGGCAGACACTTGCTGTATTGGAAAGAAAAAGTCAGAGCCAACTAGTTTCTTTTCAGTGGAAAATACGAGATTAGATCCCTCAGAGGAATCACAGCATTCCCTGCAAATATTTGATCATGTGTTATTTTTAATTCTGATTAACCAGAAAACAGTACAATGCCACTCAGAAAAATAAATGGCAATCAGAACAGACACTGGGGGCTAAAAATGTGTGTTCTTCCCTAGTGTAGCATACGGGTATTTGCTGAAATTCTGATTCTAAGCATTCTTCAGAATCTGATTTTTCAGGCAGTTTAACGTCAGAATAACCTGGAGGGCGTGTTAAAACAGATTGCTAGCCCTGCCCCCTGAGACTTTGATTCAGTAGGTCTGGGGGTGAGTCCAGGGTGGTTGCATTTCTATTGAGTTCCAGGCTGAAGTTGATACTGCTGGTCTGGGGACCACACTTTGAGAATCATGGCCCTCTGATAATCTTCCTTTGGATTGCAGTTGTGTTTCTCTTCTGATAATTTATGTCTTCTGACAAATTGATAATAAAGTCATATTTTTCCAATTATGATTTCAGAGAGTCTTCATTATTGCCGATGAGTTACCACTGATATTTTATTGTCTCACCTACTACCCAATGATTATCAATCAGTAAATAAATTCCTATACGCCAAAGAAGGAACACAATAAAGTAGCCTTGTGGTGAATAGTGTGGTAGAGAAAAACAGCTTTTATAATAACAAACTCTCACTTTCTCATTTGTCTGTTTTATGAGGTTAAATTCTCATATATCAACATTTCCAAAATCAGGTGTGGGTGGACATTATTGCTAAAAAAAAGGCAACCTGATTTCAACATCTGTAAGATGAATTCTAGGACACCTAAATCATTATCATCTGAAATGCCACCCAGCTAATGGGGATGATAGAAGTTGGAGAGTGAATTGACTGAGAATATGGGCTCATTCCATGTCTATTTACTGAGCAGTACAAGGCACTGTGAGGAACTGGGTGATGACTACCCCAAGTTGCCTCTGAAGCAGATGCTGCCTTCAGGGTACTAACAGTCTAGGAAAACATGGATGGGAGATAGCACTGATGAATATATGAATCAAAGACGAGAAGGGCCCACCTCTTCTCAATGACTAAGACAAGCCATGGGGTAGCATCACAAGAATTAGCCCAGCTGACACTGAAGGAACAAAGAGACCATGTGGGAATTCAGTTAATTACACATCCCATGCTTCATGATTTCAGCTACCTTTACTTATTTTTTTAGCTTGACAAGACAATCTTGCTCTGTATGACCATTGTCATAAGAAGTCAAGGTTTGAGTGCCGAGGGGAGAGAGGAGAGAGGACTACAATGTTTTAAAATTATCCTTACATTACAGCACTATCATTATCCCAGAGGAAGACAGTTTATTACAATTAAGCCATATGGTAGAGCAGAAACTCTGATTGCTTTGTGACTTTGGATCTAAGAGGATAATTGAACTTTGATAGTGGAGGAACAAAGGAGAACCTATGACCTCTTCTGGTTCTCCCTGGCATAGGGACCCTATGTTGTCTGTAGAAACTAAGGATAGGAAAAGAAAACATGGTCTCTGAAGCTACACCCAAGTGAGTATACTAGTAGCTAACAGGATAGCAGCAAGCTAAACTGCAAACAAGTTAATGTTAAACAAGCTTCCATCTTAGCATCACTCTAGGCAAAAGTTAATTTTTAAAACCAACAATATTCTTGAACAACAGGTTAATGATGATACTTTCGCTCTGTTTATAGGTGCTGTGGAACGGGTGAAGAAAATCCGAGACTATGCTTTCGTGCACTTTAGTAACCGAGAAGATGCAATTGAGGCCATGAAAGCTTTAAATGGGAAGGTAATGTAGACAAAGAAAAAATATGTACAGATTCCATCAAAGTATGGTGCGGAAATTTTATTCCAAAGAACAATCCTGCAAGTCTACCTCACTCAGGCTTTCTCCAACACCGACATGGCTGCCTCTGTTCATTTAAGATGAAAAAAAAAAAGAAAGAATGAAAGAAAGAAAGAAAGAAAGAAAGAAAGAAAGAAAGAAAGAAAGAAAGAAAGAAAGAAAGAAAGAAAGAAAGAAAGAAAGAAAGAAGAAAGGAAGGAAGGAAGAAAGGAAGGAAGGAAGGAAGGAAGGAAGGAAGGAAGGAAGGAAGGAAGGAAGGAAGGAAGGAAGGTAGGGAAGGAAGGAAAGAAGGGAAGGAAGGAAAGAAGGGATGGGAAGTATGATAAACATGTCACTGGCATGTCCAACTCCATCTCTAATTTTGGCTGACTTGGACAAGTTACTGGCGCTTAATTTCCTTAGAAAGAGGATACTGGGGTAGATAATTTCAAGGTGTTTTTCACCCATTCCAATTTTCACTCATTACTTTAAAGAGATTATCACCTTTGAAGTGCAGTATTTTAGGGACTGATGATCGGGGGGGGGGGGGGGGGGGGAGGGGGGGGAATGCCAAGCTAGCTGTTATTCTGCCCTTAACATTTGATCTTCCAACTCTGGAAAGCTTGGAACTACTTCACCTTCCCAAGAATAAGATCCGGGGGAAAACTAACTTCTTTATCCTTATTTTTGATTTACATGTAGAAACCAATATATTTACTTCAATCCAATACACATTCAAGAGCTTCCATAGGCCACTTATCATGATAAATAAATTCTGGGATACAAAAAATATCAAACCAAAGATGTTTATCAAAGAGCTACCAGTCTGCCAGAAGAATAAAACAAGTCACAAACACTTTTACAAAGGCGTTCACAAAAAGGATGAGTGGTTCATAAAGAACCCGAAAATCTTCATGGATATGAGAAGAGACAAAGAGGAGCCATGAAAATTGATCAGAATTTTAAAAGAGAAAACAAAAACATGGAAAAGGAGAGGCAGTTTTAGACAGAGACTAAAAAGAGCTAGCTAAGATTTGAGAATAGTAAAAGCAGGGCAATTTGGTGAGAACATAATACATCAGGCTATTTTACCTGTTGGGCTTTGCATCAGTCAATCCTAAAAGGATACAGATGGCAAAGGGACTTAGTACAAAGGTGCGAGTGCAGAGTCAGAGAATCAAGAGATAGTGCAAAAACCTAGAGCTCCTGGCATTCCTTAAGTCAAAGGGACAAGGGCTGGAGAAGTAACAGGAAACTAAAGCAGAGAGGATTGTGTAGAGCAGGTCTCTGAGAGAAGTAGTGATGGTTGGTCAAGAAACACATCCAGGCTTAGCTAATCTGTCAGAGAGGGAGCAGAGGGAGAAATAACCAGAACTCGCTGCCAGGACTCCCTATGGGCCAAACCCAATCATGATCCAGAAGGCCCAGGAGCCCTGAAGAGGACTCCAAATAGATTATCCCCCACCCCAGGGCAAAGAGGCTGGAGACCACTGGGGAGTAGGCCCTTCAGATACAGTGGGGCCTGGGCATAGGAGCTTCTGCAGGACCTACAAAAATGAGTACTGTGAGGAAAAGTACTGACTTTAAAATACAAAAAGAAAACTAGAAAGCAAAAATTAATGCATATTAATACATGTCTATGTAGCAAAACATTATTTTATCATCATTGGTTATTACATTTAATATCATAAAATGATTATTTAAAACAATTTGCAGGTTAGTTTTTTTCCATTTGAAAACATTCCTAAGTATACAAATGATTGCTGAAAAGGGATATTCTGAATTCAGTGCTAATTTATTATTATTTATTATATGATCATTAAACTAACTGCTACGTTATTAATTGATAAATAATTAAAAGCATTGGAATAATTGCAATGAAAATATATTCAAACTTTTCCCAGTTTTTAAAGCTATATATATTTATAGGTAGATATTTTCATAGAAGTGGATACATATATTATATAGTTAAATAGATATTCAATATTATTATTAAATATACACTAAATATTATAATTATATTTCACTATAATATGGTATGGGAATATCAAAAATAAGTTTTTCTAAGAACTATGAAAGCTTTTGAGTATGCATATGGATATTTATATTTAATTCGTTCAGCAAGGTGAAGCTTTGAATATTTTGTGCAGTGGAGTAATTGTCATATTTACAATTTAGGGAAATGAACCTACTAATAATTGAAATCTCATAGAATAGTAAGAGAGATATAATTGCAAGTAGTTAAAAAGTTATTAGTCGTCCAAATGGAAAGAAACAGGATTTGAACTAGGGTGGGAATGAGGTGTAGAAGAGAGCTCTATATAGGACTAAGGGGGATGAATTTCAAGGACTCAGGGACTGATTGGATGTAGCGGTAAGAAAGAAGGAGGAGGCGATACAGGTTTCATTATGGGGAATAATATCGTTAGGGAAGCCAGACAGGAGAGCCTATTTAAAGAGAAACATGATGAATTGAGCTTTGGATGTGATCATTCATTTATTCTATAAATATTTATGGATGTTTATAATATACAAAAAATTTTGCTGAGCTTGGGATATAAAGATGAGTGAGATATTGTCTTAGCTCTTGAAATGTCTAAACCAAATAACTAAAATACAATGTTGAGTTTAAAACACTGTTGGGTGGCAGAGGAATGCAAAACAAAATCTATCACAATAAGAAATCTGACTTTGCAGTGTGTAATCATTCTTTTATAAAGGTCTTTTGATATGAAAGTGCCTATAAGCAGAGACCTATTGGGGTCTCTCATCTTTAAGAAAAGACTGATGATATAAGTTTACCTCATTCCTTCATTATTCCATTTCTTCTATTCACATGAATGACAATGTAACAATTGAATATCAGCTGGATTCTCTCTGTGTGTGTTTCATTTGACACTGGCTCCTGCTACTATGAAGTAAGGTAGATCCATAGAAACAGGGATAAGTTGCCCCACAGACTGAACAAAATAGTCAGGATGAATCACGAACTCTATCTAGCAGACTTCAATGACCCAGGAACCACTGAATTCTCATGACATCAGATAATAAGGGTGGGTGATTGCTACTGTGGGAGAGAATTTCTGCAGGAACATTTTATGTCATTTCTTTTCATTTATATAAAATAGGAGCCCATCATATTATGAGAATGAAACCACAAAAGCTTTCTCATAACTCCTTGTTGCTTTGATAAGGAGTACATTACTCTATCAAGTATTTGTTGAGAGCCATCCTGGTCTCTGTGTATGACTGTGCTACACAGAAGTGAGTCACTCATCTAGATCTAAACACTTCTATTATGTTCAGCTATTATCTTTAGCTATTATCTTCAGCTATTTTATGCAAAAAATTTGTGTCAGCCCTAACCAGTTTGGCTCAGTGAATAGAGCATCAGCTTGCAGACTGAAGGGTCCCAGGTTTGATTCTGGTCAAGGGCATGTGCCTTGGTTGCAGGCACATTCCCAGTGGGAGTGTGCAGGAGGCAACTGATCAATGTTTCTCTCTCATTGATGTTTCTAACTATCTATTCCTCTCCCTCCCTCCCTGTAAAAAATCAATAAGAAATATTTTTTTTAAAAAATTGTGTCAGACTAGAACCAATTCAATTAATTCTTGACAAATTTTTAAGAGTGCTGGACTTGAGAAACCTCAGCACTATCCACCAACTCCATTCGTTAGTTACCAACTGTTCAGCAGGCCAAAGGGTTGCTTCCCGAGGAAGTACATGTGGGCAACAAGGTAATGGCCTCAGATGCCTCTTCCTTGGGTAGTGCCTCACCTTTTAGGTCTCTCCTTCTTCCCAATGAAAATGCCCTTATTGTGTAGCAACTCTAAGGAGCAAGACCTTTAGTTTGCTAGCAGCCAGAAAGGCCCAACTGGGCTACCCATAACCAAAAACTTAATAATTTATAAGAACTCTTTCTTGATTTTCTTTCATCTTCATTGTACTCAGCTAGGTATTAAAGGTTTTAATCTCCATAACTAACCTAAACTGTCTTAGAATTACATAATCACATAAACATGTAAACATGTAATTTAAAACATATACGTCACATGAAAAATATTACATAATTCTGTCTCAGTGACTGTATTCAGACAATAAATTTATTACCAATATGTTCATGGATGATGGCAAATTTGTCACTGTAAAAACCTGTTGACAGCTTATGGGAAACTTACAACAAACTATTCAGGGAACAATTTAAATGACACATGCCATCAACCTATAGAGACAAGTACATGTAATTAAAACAGCCAGTACGCATAGCAGCAAATAGGCTAATACAGAAAGAAAGCCATTACGAGGGCTCAGCATCCCGTGGTTGTATTCATACATTACTTGTTGCTTTTTCCTTGCTCTCTATACCAGGTGCTGGATGGCTCCCCCATTGAAGTGACCTTAGCCAAACCGGTGGACAAGGACAGCTATGTCAGGTATACCCGAGGCACAGGTGGAAGGGGCACCATGCTGCAAGGAGAGTATACCTATTCTTTGGGCCATGTTTATGATCCTACCACAGCCTACCTCGGAGCTCCTGTCTTCTACGCCCCGCAGGCCTATACGATTCCTAGCCTTCATTTCCCAGCCACCAAAGGACATTTTGGCAACAGGGCCATTATCCGAGCCCCCTCTGTTAGAGGTAATACTAATCAGCTCTTGCCTTAGAATAACTCCATGATTTCAAACGATTTGTATTGCAATAGCCCTAGACAAACTGGATGAGTCCACTGGGAGAAAAGAACTCAAAAAAAATTTTTTTAATCAAATATTTTATCAATAGTTATCCTTCCATAGGAATCTTATTTCACATTACAACTGGTTGAGAAAACTTGGTCATAGCATAGTACAAATGAGTCTTTCCATGGGACCCATAACATTTGCACAAACTAAATCTCAGGTCCACAGTTGTTCATGTCTCTCTTATCATTGATTCACCATATTGCAGTCATATGTAACTTGTCACATAATTAAAATATTATGCATTTATAATCTAAAATCACATCATAAAACAAGCCATACATTAAATATAAGTTGTCAACCAGTTGTAATGTAAGTAAAAACATTGTTGGCAGCTTATGGGCACACTCCAAGGGGGAAAAACACCTTTATAACAAAACAAAAAAATCAATGAATGATATTTCATGGATGAAGGGTAATCAATTTAACATTTGTATCTTTATGCCACCAACAGGAAATCAAAGTAGCAATGTGGAAAACAAAAAAATCGAAAGGAATCTATTAATGAAACTCAATAGAAATGTAAGCCTCACATGGACAGAACTTAAAATAGAAAATGGTTAATTTAAACATGCTTTCAATGTGGTTTTCCAACAGGTCATTAGGATGGCCTTCTTGGGAAAACTAGAATTCATTTATGACTTATTGCTCAATGATAAAATGCAAGACTGATATGACTACTGTATGTGGTTATATTATGCTAGGATGTTTTAAAAAATACCTTCCCAATATTAATTATTCTACAGGGGGGGAAAAGTCGATAAAAGGTTAACTGAAGACAGAAATGGAAATTTTTTTCTCTGTACCAAATTTTAAAGTTGCTTATGTAATTATCAATAGCTTTGATAGTATTGCTTTCTTCCACAAATCATTTTTTTTTTAAAGAGGACACCTCTGGTGAACTACCTTATGTTGAGTTTCATTACATTAGAATCCTAGGGTTTTCTACCCATCTTCAGGGCAATAATCAATGTGACTTGGGCTAACTTTTCCATTACAGTAAGATTCAGGGTGATTTTCTGGTGGTTTGATTCAGTTTAATGCCTTCTTACATTCCTAGAAATTTACATGAATGTACCTGTAGGGGCTGCGGGAGTGAGAGGCCTGGGCGGCCGTGGCTATTTGGCATACACAGGCCTGGGTCGTGGATATCAGGTCAAAGGAGACAAGAAAGAAGAGAAACTCTATGATCTTTTGCCTGGGATGGAACTCACCCCGATGAATCCTGTTACCTTAAAACCCCATGGAATTAAAATTGCTCCCCAGGTATGTGATGTTATTCCAGAGACAGTCTCTTTAAGTTGAGCTAATATCCATTATTCTCCTTTCATTAGATGATTTGACTGGATCCCTACTTAGGTTTCTATTTTGTTTTGTCTTGTGTGTTTTTGAGTTTATTTGTTTGTTTTACATAGAGTGACCAGTCAACATAATGTCTTGTCAGAGTGCTGAGTATTGTTCCATTATAGATTTTCTTTTTTTTTACTATAAAATTTGGTACCTTAAATAACCTCCCACTGAAATGCAAAGATCCTGAGAGCTACTGAGAATATCAACCAATACTTTAAGTAAGATAATATAAAGCTAAGACCTTAGTTCAAAACAAAGGGCAATTGTATGTAAGCCTGGTTGGTTAGCAAATGAAGAATATTCTTGACAGTCGATGAATGGACCATTTAGGACATCTTTTCTTAGAAACACTGTGTTTAAGAGAAAATACCATGTCATCTAAGGTGATATTACTCATATCAACTATAAGGCACCATCAGTCATACCAAATTAGATTTTCTACTGTGATTATATTTGCACAGTAGCATTATAGTGAGTTTTTATTGCTTTCATTTCACAGTTCTAATTTTCCAGGCTTCTTCATGAGACTGTATTTTTTATTATTGGAAAATTAAAAGTGATAAAAGTTGTTTTAAAATGGAAACAATAATAAACACAGTTAAAATAACACAAAACTGGTTCTAAGTTAACCAGTAGACTGTTCCCTGTCCAGTACATGCTGATCTCTACAATTCTGCAGAGACACTTGGGCTGAATAACCAATATCTACCTAGTAGTTGCTCAGAGTTACAGTTTGTATATTCAAAAGGAAAATTTTCTACTCTCACCCCAAAGGCATAGGCTCCAAATTTATGGAAGTAACTTTTTTATTGCAATCGAGTAGAAAAGTTGGTTTTCTAAAAGTTTAGCTTGAGTATGTTTTTTTGTAGAATTGCTGGCTTTCTTAGACACACAAAATTTTACATCTAAGGTTTCTGTTAACCCTACCCAGACAATTAAAAACTAATAAAAACTATCAGAGTGGCAAACAGCAATCATTTGTTTGTGCAAAACTATTTATTGGGCATTTTTAACATGTATTTTGTTAGTTCTAGTGATAGAAAATGGAATATAATGCAATCCCTTACTATCAAAAATTATGTGGCACAGAAAAAGTAATCTAATTTAGAAATGGACAAAAGACCTAAATAGACATTTTTCCAAAGAAACTATACAAATGGCCAACATATTTTTTAAAATGAGGAAATCCTGCCATTCATGTCAACATGGATAGTCCTTGAGTATGCTAAGTGAAATAAATCAGAGAAAGGCAAATACTGTATGACCTCACTTATATGTGGAATCTTAAAAAAATATATATATCCAAACTCAAAAAAAAAAAAATCAGGTTTTATGGTTAACGGTGGTGGATGGTAGAGGTGGGAGAATTGAAGAGATGGGAGGAATGTGGTCAAAAGGTACAAACTCTTAATTATAAGATAACTAAATACTAGGGATGTGATGTACAATATAATGATTATAATTAATACCACTGTATAATATATATGCAGATTGTTAAGAGAATAAATCCTAAGAATTCTCATTACAAGGAAAATAACTTTTTTCTTTTTCTACTTTTTCTTTTTATTGCATTTGTATTAGATAATTGATGCTAACTAAGCTTATTATGGTAATCATTTTTACAATACATGTAAGTCAAACTAATATGTATACACCTGAAACTCACACCATGATGTATGTTAATTATATCTCAATAAAACTGGAAAAACATTATATGGCAATTCAGTGAGAGGATATTCACATGTACACAGATCATTATTAAAAAAAAAAAAAAATCCAGTAAGTGCCATGAGTTTGGCACTCAGAGCTTTCCTCAGAAAACACAAAGCTAGTCACCCAATCTCCCTTGGGTTAAAACCCAAAATAAGAAACCTAATTAAACTACTGGGAAAACTAGAAATCTTCTAAGTAAATAGAAAGTAATGATCATTAGAAATTCTGCAGAACAGTTCTGAGAGCTGCTATAGCATGAGCTATGATCTCTGCTTTTAATACCCTGTTTCCCCGAAAATAAGACAGTGTCTTATATTAATTTTTTTCTCCCAAAGTTGCGCTAGGTCTTATTTTCAGGGGATGTCTTATCTTTCCATGAGCTAGGTCTTATTTTTGGAGGATGTCTTATTTTCGGAGAAACAGGGTATCAAACCCAGGCTAGAAACTGGCTATGCTTTTTATTAAGATGTGAGTAACCATCTCTATCAGCTAATGAAAATTCTTTCATTAATTTTCCCCTGAATTTCTACAACTATGGCTTAGAAACTGAAGACCATGTCACCCCAACCTTCACGCTGGAGCCTGAAGAACTCCATAGTGGAGCTGTGAACTTCTAAGAAGGGCTGAGGGATACGTGCTGACCTGCAGTCAGCAGTTAGAGCTGCTACTCCGATAGCACTGTTACAGAATATCTGCCAGTTAAAGCAATTCACTATTGTTCAGGAACTTCAGAGAATGCTTTGGAGATGACAAGAGATGCTACAAAACTGAGGATATTATAAGAAAAGTTAATAAAAAAAAGTTAGGAGCAATGAATAAACTGGAAAAGGTCATGCTTTTGCAGCTGGACTGGAGTTAGAACAAATGAGATAAGCTCCATAGGGGCTTCCTGGGACATTGTTCTTTCCCAAAGAGTTGTTTTTGTGTTATTGTTTTTTTCAGATCTATGCCCTATTTTGCATAGTTTATTGAATTTACCAACTATTGGGAGTATCAGGGCTTGTGGGCCACCAAAAAATGGCTTCAAGATGAAGAAAATATATGCCTTTAAATATGATTCAGTTTGCAGTAATGATAGAAAGAAAAAGAAAAAAAACATGCAGGAAGCTGCTATAAACCAGACTATTGTAAAAATAACCAGAAGTGGTCTTTTGCCAAAAACATTGCAACTGTCAACACCCACCTATCAATCCTCATCAATAAGTACTAACCAATTAAACTTTAAAATTCTATTTTTATGAAAATGTGAAGTTAAACTTTAAGATAAATAACATCAAATAAGAATATATTATGTCCTTAGGTTATTTTCTCTAGACCATTAGAAACAGAAGGATTGAAGACAAAAATGAGTAAATCCAGCCACACAGTGTTAGAATATCAAATTTTTAAATAGGGATAAACATATCAAACAAATCATAAAATTAAACTATTGGTAAAAAGTTACAGCTAATGGACTAAACTAAAAACATGTTAGACTAAGTGGTGTGAAGATGGTTTTTATGAATTAATAGACCTAACATTTTAAATAGAGTTCAAATTGAGTTCATGTTAAATTTTGTGAGTCATTAAGCCATGTGGCATTTTATATCTTTTTATATTAGCTTAAACTCTGAAGGACAGAATTAAAAACCTGAAAGCTGGAGAAATAATGCAAATGTGACATTTGAAAGAAAAGTCTTTTTTTTTCTTTTTACTCTTGTAGATATTAGAAGAAATTTGTCAAAAAAATAACTGGGGACAGCCAGTATATCAGCTGCACTCTACCATTGGACAAGATCAAAGACAACTATTCTTGTACAAAATAACCATTCCTGCTCTGGCCAGCCAAAATCCTGCCATGTGGGTAACTTCTCCAAATTCCTAATAATACCAATTTTAAAATAAGAGACTCTTACAAATTAAGTGCATTTTATCACTATTTCAATAAGATAAATATTCAAGTCTTCTACTCACTCAGTTTTCATTAAATGAAACATTGAGATGTAAAGTTAGGATGTATGTGTCAACTATGAGACTGACATCTCAAAACCACTGAATTTTGTGAAGACAATGAAGACCTGGTAGTGAAATCAATCAATGGAAAATTGCAGCTGTAAAATTTAACAGAAATGAAAAGTATAATCCATTCTTTGATCTGCATAGTATTTAGGTTGAACCATATAAAATAGCCATTTTATACAAAATAACATCGTGCTCTGAGGTTTAAATTTTGGACCAATGATGTAACCTCTCTGCTAGTGGATATAACCTTCTGAATTTTACCTGGAGCCTGCATTTCTGCATTATTTTAGGAACCATCGTGTTTCACATACACCTTAGAAAAGCCATGTAATGAGTTACAAGTATGCTCCAGGAATGACATCAACCACCAATGTTCTAGGTCAATTCATAGATATGCCTACATGTATATACTATCTATTTAGAAGCTTTAATGGCAAAGAGAATGAAAAATACCCACACAAAATTCTATCATCCTATCGTCCTCAAAAGCTAACAGTGCCTTAGATGTTTACCTGTCTCAGTAGCACGAGTTTAAAATGCTCACCCTGCCTGTGCTTTCCAGCCATGCTTTCACACCTCCAAAGCTAAGTGCCTACGTGGATGAAGCAAAGACATACGCAGCCGAGTATACCCTGCAGTCCCTGGGCATTCCCATCGAAGGGGCCAGCGCTCCCACTGCAGCAGCAGCTGCTGCTTCTGCTGCTGCTTTTCCAGGTATGAACATATTAAACCAGAAAGGGCATCCTGCAGAGAGTGTCTTGGAAAGCCTTCTTGGAACCATGGATGCATAGAGTTGTTTGTAAACGCCACCTACAACAAATACGATTTACACCATATGTGACCAAAAAGAATTTGCCAGATAAGTGAACCATTAAAGTCTGAGATAAGGGAATTGAGTTGGGCAGCAGAAGTGGGTTGTGTCTAGGCCAAGTGATCTTGAATGATCTAGTCTCTCTGCATCTGATTTGCTTTGGTTTGGTTTTTACTTTCAATAAGAACAACCTCTTAACAGCTGATATTTATCTGAGCTCTTACCATGTGCCAGGCACTCACCTAAATCCCCGGCGTACTTTAGGTTCTCTCAGTAATGCTCACAGCACCATGGAACTAGGTTCTAGCATAATGCCTGTTGTATAGATGAAGAACCTGAGTCAGTGGGCCAAAGCCAATCAGCTTTTAAGCAATCCTTACACTCCCACCCCAAATCCAACCTTCAATTTTACTTTTATCACTTTGATTTATGAAAGAGCTGTGTAGATTACACTTTTCTTAAATTATTTTAAGTAAAAAAAACTGTGGGGGTGGTGAAAAAAAGAGTCTTTCAATATGTACACAATTAAGCCTCATTTTATGTTCTATAACTTTTGCCTGGGGCAGATGCTGATTGCTTAAAGTCTATCTGTACATCAACAAGCCTTCAGGGTCACATTTAAAGACTTTTCTGCATTTATTATATACCTACAATAAATGCTGATAATTTAAAAAAATGAATCCTCTAAAGAGGGGAACAAATATCTTTTGGAAATATTTTTTCAGCATTCAATTTGAGTAACTCCATTCTTTTTTTTTTTTTTTAAGTAATAAAAGTTTATTTCTTTTATTTTAAAAAATTTCATTTTGACTTGTCACTGTAGCCAGATACCCCCATAAGCCCAAATCAGAGAGTTCTGACTAGACCTGGAAATATGGGTTCCTATTGATTGATGAATCTATATATTGATTATATGAAGGTATGAGAACTCTATACCCCTCACATCCATATCCTTGGGCCAAATCTCATTTTTTTTTAAATTTCTCAAAAAATTCTGAATAGATACTCCACTCTGGCAGGTGAGGCTGCACCTAATGCTTCACACGTGAATGTGACCCCAATCCAGCTTCAACCGCACAGAGCACGGTCTCCCCTGGGCTGTACTAGGGCCACCAACCCCAGAATTGCATTCCACAAACAAGTTCACTGGGGACATGGCCAGGACTTCTGAGTTCTTAAAGGAAGTTGAACCCCTGTCTCGCAGAAAATTGCATCCCAACAACCCCTAACAAACATGCTATAAAAATAAATGAGCCAATGTCAGGAGAACTTTAAAGTTGGCTTTCACATTGGACAGAATTTACTTTTTCCCAAGAATACTGTATCTTACCCATACTTATTTGTTCCTACAAGAAGCAAAAAAATGTAGGGCATGACTGTGTCTTGGGAATACTTAAGAATTTAAGAATCTCTCACAACTTTATAGCGGGATCAAGCAGAGAATAATAGCCTTCGAGGGAAGAATCTGTTTAAAACATAAATACTTTTGCACCTAAGGAATTAGCCAAATTGCAAAAGAAAATTCAAAATCCCTAAAGATAAAATCTAGGCTACACACACATATGCATACATTACTCACTTACTTTAGGTATTCTGTTTCCAAAATCATGAAAGTAATTGTTAACACATTTCTCATATCCTTGGGAAATGTACCAAATTTCGCTCGTGCATTAGTCAGCATTACTGCTCAAAGTGCAGGAGCCAAGGAGTGGAGTCAACTTTTTAAAAAAATAGTCCAGCCAGCTTCCAGCCACCACCTCCTGAGAAGCCACTGAAAGAAATCAATGCGTCTGGGGTTGGGCAGACTTCCACAGCACATAAAACAAATGGGCTTTTGTGGGTGGTTTTTGTTTTGTTTTGTTTTGTTTTGTTATCAGATCCCTGTTTATTGCTTAATTACTTTTCTCTTTTTCTCATCATCTTTTACAATTTTTTGGATCATCTCAAATACCCAGTTTTGGTCTAACACACTAACAGGTTAATGTTGCTTTAAGATAAGAGCTGTTATGTTCTCTTCGTCAAAAGTGATTACTAAGCAACTAAACATATACTACGTCCTAGCTGGTTTGGCTAAGTGGATAGAGCATTGGCCTATGGACTGAAAGGTCCCAGGTTCGATTCCAGTCATGGGCACATGCCTGGGATTGTTGGCTCTATCCCCAGGAGGGATGTACAGGAGGCAACCAATAAATGAGTCTCTCTCATTATTGATCTTTCTATCTCTCTTTCTGTCTCCCTTCCTCTCTGAAATCAATAATATATAAAACCATAATACTAAGGTAACAGCACCCAATGATTTCCTTATAATTCAAAACTTGGTTTATATGAGGTAGGGGGGAGGTACGGGGGGGGGGGGGGGGGGAGACGGGACGGGAGGACCGGCATCCAAATACACCAAAGGTAGCTTGATGGTAGGGGGAGAAGATGCTATTTGCCCTTCAAGGTAAGGTCTAACAGTGGGAAGACTACTTAGTTTTTGCTTTCATGGTGCCATATATAAAAACTTGCTAAAACTGTAAATATTTATCCTACTGTTCTACCCACTCCCTACATGTACTTCTCGGGTGAAAGCAATGCCTATCGTTTCATTAAGGTGGGAAGGAGGGGAGAGGCAGCAAGAAGCAAACCTACAGAGCCCCATCCCCCATCCCTGCCTCCTTCATTAATTCTGAGACCCTCGGAGAAAGCTCTGAATCCCACACTCTCATCCCCTCAGCATCATCCTATTAAGTTTGTTTTGTGGACTCTAGCCCCAGGGTTTCTAATTCCCTCAGTGGAGTGATTCTGCCACAGGTGCTCCACCTCACTTGGAGAAATGCTGCCCCCTAAAGGATGAGGCCCCTGAGAGCGCCTTTTAAAATGCACAGCTGAGAATATGCGCATATTCCCAAAGGAAGACCACAAGCCAAAGGGAAGCCAACAGGAATCTCTTTCACGCCCATTTTCTCTGCCTCCTTCTCCAGGATATGCTGTCCCCAGCGCCACTGCACCCGTGTCCGCAGCCCAGCTCAAGCAAGCAGTGACCCTCGGACAAGACTTGGCCACATATACAACGTATGAGGTCTACCCCACTTTCGCAGTGACCGCCCGGGGGGATGCATACGGAGCCTTCTGAAGATATCTTTTTTATTTTATTTTAATAATAAGACACAAAACTCTATAGAGAAGAAATAAACCTCTCAGTCCCCTAATGATCACACGTAATGCTTTTCTTCACGTGAGGCCGTTCCTGAGATGATAGTTGCTCTAGAATCGCCATAGGAGAACATTATTCCCAATTCAACCAAATGTTAAGGAGCCTTTTCTCTCACCAAGGCTTTGAGCCACTGCGCCCAGGTGGCTCTTGCAAGGTTGCAGAAGTGGAGTGTGTTCACAGGCTGGGGCTTGTGAAAGAAAATGCCCAAGTTTTGATGAGTCAGCATTTGCAGTCTGAAAATTCCGCCCAGTCACTTTGTGGTAGGTCAGCATCTCCCTGTCCCCTGCCATCCCCAGGACTTCCTGGAAATCGAAGTGATATATTGCAGACCTGGTTAAAGCAATCCAGGCCTATTGATTATTAAACTCATTAGCCCCTAGAATCCCTGCTTTTCCCAAGCATCCCCACAAGACAATAATCCTTCCAACCTGAAATGACTTTTTCTCATTTTAAACATTTGATGTGCCCATATTGATTTATTTTCATTTCAGTCTTATTTTGCTCTTCTCCAATAGCTTAAAAAAAAGGAAATCCCATTTATAGTCAGTCACCTATGATACTTTTAGCTATTTGGCAAATTGGCTGAAAATTCATTTAAACAAAATGAGGAATAAAGATTTACTCTTCTTATTTCTTTGACCTTTTTGCAATACTCAGGCCACCATCCAGCCTAAAGTAGCTTGGTTCAGCCTTGGACCATCTCACTGGCACTTATATTAAATCTGCCAGGAAATCCTCTACCTTCTCTTCCTTTTGCTTCCAATAAGCACTGACAGCGTCGGCAGAACTGAGTGCTGTGGGCTTGGAGCCGTCACAGGAAACCTTACATCGTCAATGCTGATCAGAGGCTGGTTCTCCAGACACTCAGCCAGGGTATGATTTACCAAAAGCCCCTAGAGTCCAGGGCCTCTTCTCCAGGAACATCTGATGGGGGAGGAGGATGCTACAAAAGTCAGAATGGAGGGGAGTAGAAGGCACTACTTGTTTGCCATCCTTATACACGATTGCTTTTTGTTCCAATTAGAAATAATCTATTTCCAGCCACCCAATACCCATGACTACTTGTCAGGTCTCATCAGTGGTTTAAGACATAACAGTACTACAATTTCCATCTTTAAAAATCCTTTGGCCCTTGTAAAATTCTACAGGACTCAAAAGAAAACATAGGTACAAATGAATAATAAAAAAAAAAAAGTCAAATATTGACTGGAATTCTGATTCAAAATCAGGCCAGATTCCAATCAAAATCAGATAAATTCCAAAAACAATTAAAATAAAATAAAACCACATCTTTCAGTTCTATGAACTCCAACCTGATGTCAAAAGCCTCGATGTTACAGATGGAATGTTGAAAGGCCTTTGTTTTTAGCTTTGAATTTTGCTTCTCAGACCTCCTAGGACAGTGGTTTCCAAACTTGCCTACACTTTGGGAACACCTGGAGGAACTTTCAAAGCCAAGATCACACCTCATACCAATTACATCGGAATGTCGTGGGGTCGGTAATTTTGACATCAGTATTTTTTTAAAAATAAGGTGATTCCAATTATGCAACTAAGTTTGGGAACTGCTTATTTTCCCCCCTATTTCACTTTTGTTAAATAGAAAAATGTAAGAAAAATTTGTCTAAATTAAAACCAAATAACCAAATCATATTTTTACATATATTCATCTTATGAAAATATGAATTTGAATATAATGCATTAATTTGAATATGATGCATATTTGCTACAAACTAATTCTTGGGTCAAACTAATTCTAAAAAGGAGAAAGTGAAAAAGTTTTTCTTAAGCAATATGTAGGTCCAAATTACACTCCCCCACAGACCAGCTGTTATACTCAATGACAGTAATTACATTGGGGGGTCAGGCAAATTCCTACTCAATTAAAAAAAAAACATTCCAAATTCTAAGAGCAAGAGTTGTAATTCTCTTTAAAATCTTAAAAAATGAATGGAAAGGGCACTCTGTATGTCTAACCCATGCAAATTGGAAGGTTTCATCCAGAGGAATTTTAATTTAATCAATTAAATTAAATAATGAACAATTAATTGAACATTAAAATGAACAATTAATAAATATAGGAATCTCTTTATGAGAAAAATCATTATTCCAGATTAAATTATGTTAAGAATAAAGACTTAAACATACAATAACAGAAAAATATCAAGAAGGTTACCACTGGAAGCCCATCTCATTACTTTCTTGAGGAAAAACATACGTATTCATGATGTTTACATCCTGAGGACTGATTTTATTCAAGTAAGTAGATGTGGTTTTATTTTTTGCTGAATTGTTACTTCATTTTAGCAAAATCTAGAGGATGCTTCAAATTCTATTAGAACATATTCATAGAAAGTGTCAATGTGTCTACCATATCAAATCTTTGCATTTACTTTGCCCATGTTAATTTATGTAGACCAAGTCCTGCTACAGTTTCTGAATATTTAAAAATGGGATTTTGAAAACCAGCTGTAGAACCAAAGGTTTCCTTTGCATGATGTTTACATTCTTGGCCTTTAGATATTACTTAATACCTATTATACCTTTCGTATCAATATTCATTTTTCGGTTTTATTACTTCTTAGAAATAAATTTTCAAAGAAAAATTTTTAAATGAATCAACCAACCAAGCAATAATAACAAAATACCCAAGAATATAATTAAGAAACATCCAGTACATTAGAATTGGCTTTCTAAATGTTGGTCATCAATAGCTTACTGAGAATTAAAATCAGGCAGTGTTACTTAGGAGGAAATGGAACAGCAGTGAGAGGAGATGTCTGTTTTCTTACCTGTAAAAATGCCTCTTCTCAAATTGCTGTACTTCGCCACCAATCCATTAGTAGAACCAGTAGGCCACCTTTAACTGCAACAAAACGTAATTCTCTAGGTGACTAGTTTTTCCTTTCCCAACCCTGCCCAAACCTGGTGTCATGCCAAACCACTCTATATTTGGGTAACAGCACCCAAAATTGCTGCTAGAAAGCTACCTCATTTAAAGAAAGAAAGCTGCCAACAGGAGCTAAGAGGCCTAAGAATGTCATTCCCACTCAGGGTTGAGCAACGTCTGTCTTTCTGGTGTGATAATGTGTCTGGGTGTGCCAGGCCAGTGCTGGCTTACACCTGTTGCCTCATGTTCTAAATACTTATTGTACAATAAGCTCCTCTCACCCTCAAATGTATCCAGTTTAGATGAGAAATTATACAAGGACTCCTTCATTATAGCCTTTTTTTAAAAAATGTTGTAGAATTGGCTTTATTCTCCCCAAAGCAGATACAGTTTCAACTAAAGATCTCAGCTACTCCTTTCTGCCCAGGGTAGGAGCACAGTGAACAGAGAGATGTGTCATCTTCTCCCCATCATGGTTCCCCTCAATCCACTCCCCATCTTGCTGCCTTTTTCTGGTCAAACTTTTCCTCCCAGTGCTCCTGGGCTGCGAGCCCTGAGTTCTGCCATCAGTGACAGAAGTAGCAGCCACAAGGCTAGATTAGGCAGGGACAGGATGTGAAACAGCTCTTAGGGACATGTGCTTGGCCTGTCACAACCATAGGGCATTAGGAGGTTCAGAAACCATTTGCTGGTTCCTTTCTTCCTTGAACCAAACTATTTATACCCCAAGCCAGAAAGGACTTTCTTCACCTTAAAAAGAAATTTAAAAGACTGTGCAAAAATTTTAAACAGGAAATAAACTTAAAGATCCAGAGGAACTTTAAAACATGAGTTTGTCTTAGTCACATACTAATTTATGATGTTAATGAGCAGATCCCTATGCTTTTTATCTACTTGAAAGCATTTTGGTCATTAACTATCTCTGTTTCCTAAAAATACTTGTATTTATAAAATTCAAAATCTATTTCACAAGCCTTACCTATATCTATATTTTTGGCAATAAGTAGTTTGCAACAAAACATACATACTTTTTCAAATGTAAATTTCATTTAGATAGTTAACATTTACTACTATAATTCCTAAGAGATCTTTGGGTTCACAGGCTGCAAATAAATCTATTTAAACCAGCCCATCATGATCACTGACTTAAATATTTATTATAATTTTTGGTATTTTTATTCCTATTCCTTTATGAGCTTTTTTCTGACTTTTCTGGCTGCAATATAACCAAATAGGTTATCTTCTATATTTTAATGAAAAGCAAACTGTCAGCAAAATGTATTTCTAGTTTCTAGATGTTAATTTCTTGCTTGTTTTCCTTTTTGTTGTTATTCACTTTATTTATGTGAAGTTAGCTGAGGTACCAAAAGAAAGATACAAAAACAGTATTAAAGAGTGTGCCTAAAGCACTTATTTTTATACTTTGAGTACAATGTTTTATAGAACTCTGTGGTCTATCTAAATATACTAAGTAAAATTACAACATTCATTTATTGGGAAACTAATCATTAGCTTGGAAGCAATAAACATAATGGGAACCATGGAATCATAAATCACATGAAATGGGCAATAATGCAATATTGTAATGACTAGTGTAATTTAAGGATAGCAAAATGATTATAACTGAATTGTCAAGTACTATTATAAAGTTTTAAAAACCAACAACATGAGTTGGTTTATTATTTTTTTCTTTCCTAAAAACTAAAGGTTTACTCTCTTTGAGTAAATACTAAATATTAATGACCTATCATTGCAATGTCCTTTTGGTGATTTCTTTACATTTCCATATTTTATAAAGTCCACTTTGATGTACTTTCTGAGAGTAAATGTAACTTAATAATTAAATACATTATTTTCTAATCAATAAAGAAAATGAGAGAAACACTCAGAAACTAAAAATAAAGAGAAAACATGACTCCAAAGTTAAGTGGGCTCTGAAGTCAACATTGATCCTGGTGGAAGAGGGCCAGGGTCTGCTGACCCCAGCTGAACTAAGCAGAGGTCAGCAAACTATCCTTCAAGTAGGAGA